CATGCCAAGGGTGTGAAGGAGCTGGTGTGGTGAAGCATTGGGGCCATGCGTCCTAAATGGGCTGCATAATGTCCACAGATCTGCAGAAACTCTAGCCCTTGACTAATGTGTTGGACTCTGGTTAGTGTACTTGCCTATGGTCTGGGCAAAAGCTTTATTCAATTTCTGGCAGCCCCTGAATTGGCTACAATATAATGTCCAGAAAAAAATGTTTTGAAAGCCATTTATTTTCCAGATCAGAAATGCATGAGACACGTGCAGTTATTATTCAAGTTCAAGAAAGATATAATAATGCAGATGCATTTGCTAAGATTAATTGTTTTTAAATAAGTTGGGCAAAACTATGGGTGGACAACTCATATCAATTCTGTTACTATCAATGTCAACTGTAAGGTTTTGTTTAAAAAATGATCTAGATACGTTTTATTGTTAAAATAATCAAAATCACAATGATCACAGCTGACATTCTTACTACATAGGGCTTCATTCATTTTTAAAGCTGTTTAGAGAAAATGCACAACATCTGGGCAACTTACCAGTTAAATGTGTTGATATTTTCCCCAAAACAAAGTCTTCTTAGACTTGTTAGATTTATCTTCTTCTTATGAATGGACGCAGAGACAAAAGTTCTCTTAGGGGAGATGGGGTTTAAAGTAGCATTATAATTGTTGATTATATATATTTGACCCAAATTGTCTATAACTGAGTTGACTCCTTTTTCTGTTAGTGTATTGTTTATCAGAATAAACATTTTAAATCTTACAGTTTTAAGATCAGAAAATGCTGAAAATGTTAAATTTAAATTGTGTTCTATGACAATAAAATAAGTTTAATTGGGGAAAAAAAAATCATTCATATTTTTTGTTTTCTTACTATACTTCAAATGTACCCACAATTCCAGAATAGGCCTTATAGCGATGTGATTTTGTTGTAAAAAAATATTGCGGTATTTATGAAGGAAAAAGGAGTTCAAAATTTCTCACAAACCCATCTTCAAGTGATTAAAATGGCAAGGATGTAAATGATTACAATTGTCTTGGAGAACGCATGCAGAGGTAAATTTTAAAATGATTTTTAAACATAAATTAGATTAAAAAAAATATATATTCCTTTTATAGATTAAGTTTTTCCCCCCACGACAGAGTAAAAATATTTTAGCAAAACTAAGTCCCTGTGCTATTATATCTGTACAGAATTGAAAGTAAGAAAAAGCCTGATTTTAATATAGCCTAATAGCGATGTAAGAATTGCATGTGTAAAACATGTGATGTTGGTATTAATATTGCACATTGTACAGCCCTATTAGATACTACAGTAATTTTTTTAATTCAGTACAAAATTCCCCGCCTCACGTTGTGATGTCATTCAGCACGGGTACCAGTTTTTACGCCAATGGAAAACCCAACAACTTCAAGTACCTTACTTTTGATACTTTCTCGAAGTACCAAAAGTACAGTACCTGGTGGTGCAAAAGTGCCTTGTTTTACTGTTGACTCTCACGTGTCCCTCACAGTTGATTATATCCACTGCCTCTCATCATTTCATTGTACTGCCATAGTTTTCTCACAGGAGGCATTACATACTAAAATGTATGTACTTTGTATAGCTGTTTTCTCAGCATGATGCTCAGCCATTCAGTCTGCTTTCTCTCCCTCCCTTGAGCTAACAGATCAAGGAGTGGATAAAAATGCTTTATGGAAGTGTCTAGAGAATATATCCACATCCTGGCATCATTCAACATACTGTCCTGTCTGCATTGTCCGTCTCCCAGTTCCACCAGCTGGGTCTTCTGCCTCTGATCTCTCAATCCCAGAGATGTCATCTGTGGTCAAGTTACTTTGATGTTGTTTACAACTATTTTTAATTGGTATATGCACTATTTTCCAGCTGTACTACTGAAACGTCATTGAATTGATGGGCTAAAGGAAAAGTCAGGAATAGTTTTTCGCTAATACAGGCATTTTATGTTCTTGAATCTCTATAATTGCAGTAATAAAAATGTCTGAATGCCCTGCCTTCACCTCAAAGAGACCTACTTCTTAGAGGGTTCAGGAGTATAACTGACCAGAGTGGCACTGTTCCTTTGGTCATCTGGTTTGACTGTCAGCCTGGAACATGCTTAAAATCTGTTCATCAGGATCACCATTACTGTTAAATCTCCTGCTGGATGATGGGTGTCTCTATAAACAGGGTTTCTCTTCTTACATGATTCATTCTATCCTTGGTTCTCCAAAACGCAAAAGGCATGGATCAAGCCAGAGTTATCAGTCACCTGAAAACAACTCACATGCCAGCACCGCGAGTTTACTTGCTGTAAAACTGCAAGTGAGCAGTCTACCTGATGATACTGATAGTTGAGGGGGAAACTGAAGGGACTCACATTCAGATCAACCAACCCACCAATGTCTATAGTTTTTTACCGAGATGGAAAAAATATAAACAAAAAAATAGAGCATTAGGGTTGAGTCCACATTTCCAGTGGAGTGAAATTAATTATCTATGCAAACAAACAAAAACGAGGGATGGATGGAAGATTCCTTTCAGATGTCCTGTCTGCTGTCAAACTTCCGGAAGTCTGGCCTGCTCTTGTGTTTTAATTTGACTTCTACAAATAGCACTGGAATACATAAACGTTAACCAAGCTGACCAGCACCTACATGACAATGATTCCCTTGCATGATCCTCACTCACACACACATGCAGACAATGGCCAACGCACTCAACTACAGCCTAACAGACACATACACACAAACACAAAAAATGCTTCTGCTTGTCAGAAAATAAACCTCGTGCATGCAACCTCAAGAAACCTTTTGGTATTAAGAAGGAATGGGGAGAAGAGGTTTCCAACGGTTAGCTTCTTCACTCGCATCAATTCCATGACACGCTGATACTATTAGACCTGCAAGGCCCTGATGACTTGAACATAATGAAGAAACACCCACCAGGATATTAAATATGGTTTTATGACAGGTTATCTCATCTTAATCTCCCTCTCAGAGAGTGCCACCTTGGAGTCTTCCAGTTACTTTTAAGTATGGAATTACAGTCATGCACATGTTGATTACAATATACACTCACCTAAAGGATTATTAGGAACACCTGTTCAATTTCTCATTAATGCAATTATCTAATCAACCAATCACATGGCAGTTGCTTCAATGCATTTAGGGGTGTGGTTCTGGTCAAGACAATCTCCTGAACTCCAAACTGAATGTCAGAATGGGAAAGAAAGGTGATTTAAGCAATTTTGAGCGTGGCATGGTTGTTGGTGCCAGATGGGCCGGTCTGAGTATTTCACAATCTGCTCAGTTACTGGGATTTTCACGCACAACCATTTCTAGGGTTTACAAAGAATGGTGTGCAAAGGGAAAAACATCCAGTATGCGGCAGTCCTGTGGGCGAAAATGCCTTCTTGATGCTAGAGGTCAGAGGAGAATCAGTCGGGATTCAAGCTGATAGAAGAGCAACTTTGACTGAAATAACCACTCGTTACAACCGAGGTATGCAGCAAAGCATTTGTGAAGCCACAACACGCACAACCTTGAGGCGGATGGGCTACAACAGCAGAAGACCCCACCGGGTACCACTCATCTCCACTACAAATAGGAAAAAGAGGCTACAATTTGCACGAGCTCACCAAAATTGGACAGTTGAAGACTGGAAAAATGTTGCCTGGTCTGATGAGTCTCGATTTCTGTTGAGACATTCAAATGGTAGAGTCAGAATTTGGTGTCAACAGAATGAAAACATGGATCCATCATGCCTTGTTACCACTGTGCAGGCTGGTGGTGGTGGTGTAATGGTGTGGGGGATGTTTTCTTGGCACACTTTAGGCCCCTTAGTGCCAATTGGGCATCGTTTAAATGCCACGGCCTACCTGAGCATTGTTTCTGACCATGTCCATCCCTTTATGACCACCATGTACCCATCCTCTGATGGCTACTTCCAGCAGGATAATGCACCATGTCACAAAGCTCGAATCATTTCAAATTGGTTTCTTGAACATGACATTGAGTTCACTGTACTAAATTGGCCCCCACAGTCACCAGATCTCAACCCAATAGAGCATCTTTGGGATGTGGTGGAACGGGAGCTTCGTGCCCTGGATGTGCATCCCACAAATCTCCATCAACTGCAAGATGCTATCCTATCAATATGGGCCAACATTTCTAAAGAATGCTTTCAGCACCTTGTTGAATCAATGCCACGTAGAATTAAGGCAGTTCTGAAGGCGAAAGGGGGTCAAACACCATAATAGTATGGCGTTCCTAATAATCCTTTAGGTGAGTGTATAAGCCCTCTGCATTTTACAGCTAAGATGCTGCGAGACCTACGGACATCATCAAATGACAGGTCTATGCCAACGTTGTATTGACACCATACCGTAATGTGCGTGACTGAAGCAAGCTACCTCTGGAAGCTGCCAGGTAGTGGGGAAGAACACACTTTCCATGAAGCAACATGTTTACATTAACGCGTCCTGTCGGAACTCAGTACTGAGGTCCATGGGGCATATCTGCTGGCAGCGAGAATCATTCCGTTTGAGGATGCATTCATGTGACAATGATAGATAAGCCCAATGGGGCATGGTGTGATTGGGGGATCGCTCACAGTGTTATGTTTGTGCCTAAAGCTATGTGGAACGTGCAGGGCGATGCCGGTTCGTGCTGAAACATACATGTCAGAGACTGTCTGAGGAACTCCAAGAGCAAAAGGAATACCATTAGACCCCACAGGTAAATCAGAATGATGAGAAGTATGAGCAAGTGAGCAGAGGCAGATGGAGGACATTATCAGGTGATCTCAGGGTGGTTAGGTTTTCCAGGATAAGCAAATGTATATAGGAGTTCTTAAGATTTTGCTGTAACCAAAACTTACCTTGGAATGACATGTAGGCTTGTAGCTGATGTATGGATCCACTCACTTAACCACCATACTTATAGCAACCCAGCATCCTTAATCAATATTTGAGACTATATCCCGAGAGCTAAGGATACAGGGGTTGTTGCTATCAATGCTGCAGTTGTCCAGGATAAGAGGAATTCCATCCAGTTCTCTGACCTAAGGGAAATGGAAAGGTCAAGGTCAGCACTTCTTGTAACAGCTGCCTAATCCAACGACACAAAAAACACACCTGAAGGCTAGATGTGCTTAGAGGGTAATGTGGACCTTCCTGCCCAGATTATTACAAATGAAATTCACATAACAAGGAAGTGTCTTGCAATTTTTCCCTGCGCCCTTTGGCTTCAGCTACATACTGCTTTATTGGCGTAAACTCCATACCTTTCAGCTCTAAAAACAGCAGTCCTTAAGACAGATTAGATGTAATTATCATCACAGCTTTGATCAAAATTTCTAATACTGTGGTCTAAAAAGGTTGAAAACAACAATGATCACGTGATCAACACAGGCATTCAATTAGCAGAGTTCTGTCAAGGCAGGGTATAAAGATCTACAGTCGAAATGGAGTACCCCAGGGAGGGAATTAGGGCCTGATCAGCAGATGTGATTAATCCTGGGGGATAGAGGGCCACCTCCCCATCCCCACACTGTTCGGGGTCATCAACCCAGGCCTCATTAGCTAAGCTTTGGTGCTGTGCCTCACTCAGATTAGATGGTCTTGGGGCACCATGTCAATCAGCTTTGTAGGTCTCTGGTAGTCACTCAACCATTTATAAACTACATATAAGTCCTACCCCAAGTCTCAGGCATACTCCTGAGGTCTAGTAGTCATAGTATAGCTCTTAGCTTCTTGTGGAAACCTGTGCGGTAGAGTGTTTTTTTCATGCACGATGCCATTAGTATGAGCCAAGTCACATGGCCAGTACAATAGAAGCCTGACTGGGTGATTGGGAAGGTTGAGGGTTCAGCTCCAAGCTGCACACTTAAGATATTAACTTTTGTGTAGGAAGTCCTGTAAGCCCCCATCAGCACATTAGCATTGTAGTTAGTAATTCAGCATGTCCAGTGCTGTATAGTCAAGGACCTCTTCGCAACTGGCCAGTGGGTGAGAGAAATGAGAAAAAACTGAAGACATTCATTAAGTAATTAAAGTCTACATGTACAGTATGAAGGAGACTAATGGCATCTATTACACCACACTAATGTGTGCTCAGATGCCACCAACGCGGCCTGCCATAGCACAGTCCTGCTTGCCACAGGTCGGTCAGCAGCATGAAAACGCAGTGAAACTGGGTACCAGAAACATGGGAGAGGAAACATGGTCCAGTGTCTGAACTAGGACTTTGAAATGGAGGAGACCTCTTGATTCAATATTAAATCAATATTTGTTGGCCAATGCATCTCAGTTTTTAATAGTTTTTGCTGAAGAACATTTTAAGTCTACCTTTAACGTAAAGACAAGTACTACAACGGTGCACGTATTTGTCATGTACCTTTCAGTTACATTATTTTTGATTCAAATGCACAATGAAATCAATGAACATGTTTCTTGACAGTGGCAAAACCTAAATGCACAAGTTGATGTTCAACAAGACAAACATTATGGTAATGGTACCTGAGAGCTGGTTACAGTTAGTACTGGAAAGCTTAAAGACCCTCCCACATCATATAAATTAGTAGTTTGAAAACAAATTCTTTTCCCAATAAATTACACCTGAGGGAGAGAAAATACTTGATTAGACAAAGACTGTTTTTGTTGGTTATGTTATACCAAACTTGAAAACTCAAATATGTTTTTGCAAACACATCACGCATGTTGCTCACTCCAATGAGATGACATCATCCAAGTGTGTGCACACAGGGGCAAAGCAGAAACAGCCTTGGCAGCTTAGTCTCCCTGAGGCATTTAAAGAGCTTTCACCATGAAACTCCGATCAGGTTAAAAGAAAAGATTATGGTTGTAGCGGTGTTTATCTCTACAGATATGCAACTATAATTTGTAAGAATATGGGATATAGTTATTAGTGTTACGATGCACTCTAGGGACATTGGCATTGACATATTTAATTTGGTTTCATTATTAATATGAAACTCACTCCTATGCTTGATGGAATTTTATTTTTAAATGATTTATTTTACATATATATTTTAATTGTGCAAATGAGCGTCTTAGGTTTTTTATTCAGAGACAATTACAGACAATAATGTTTTACAACTTTTTACAGACTAATTGTGTTCGTAATTTTAATAATAAACTTCAAAACAAAATGTGTTTCCCTACTGTACTGAAAATGCAACCGTGAATTTAGTGAACTGTTACACTGCTAGTAAAGACTGTATCTTACATTGAAGAGCCTTTATTGAGCTGTTTAACATTGTCAAGGGTTATTGCCTTAAACATGTAGCTGAGGGTTTGTGGTTGTCCACCTTGAGGTGTTGGAAAAGATGCAGGCAAATGTTAGCGATATTACGACAGTGTTTTACTGCAACAAATCTTGCAGATAGCCATATTCAGGTCTAGGTGTCTGCTGACTTTATAAAATCCAACATTTGCTCAGATGTGTTTAAATTGTGATGGTGCTGGAAAAAAACAAAATGTGTGCACAGTATCAAGGGTGACCAAAATAATTTCAGTAAACTATGTCTAATTAAGATCTAAAAATTGATTTTTAACTCTCGTGGCGATCTAAAAATCACCACCTCAAAGAATTGTGATTTGTAACTAAATTGATTTTTCCCCCCAACCCCTAATCTGTACCTCACATGGCCAGCACATGGGTACATGGGGGGAAAACAGCCAAACAGACACTGGTTACACTTAATCTGAGACATTTCGGCTCCTGTGTTACCTGTAACACATGCCCCTGGTAACAGCGGCGCATGAGCGAGGAGCAGTTCCAATGCCAGCCAAACCTACTCATGCCAAATGATAGCTGGAGGGGAGACATTAATTAGGGCTCGGTATCAACTAGTCTGGTATCTGAATTGGCTGCTGATGAAGAGAGACTGACAATGCGTGTGTGCTTGGTTGTCAGTGTGAGAGCGTACTCCTGTCTAAGTACGAGATCGTGTATGGTGTGTCTTTAGCTGCATTTCTCTCTTTGTGTGTGTGTGTGTGTGTATGCGAAGGTGCGTGAGTGAGAGTGTGAGGGTGTGTGTAAGTTTGTGGGGTGGGGAGGGAGCTGTACGGGATGCTATAAATGTTGTTAATTAATCCTCTGAAAGTAGAGCATTAAGCAGAATAAAAAGGTTCATCCAAAACAAAACATCTCCCCAGGCAGGGAAATCACACAGAAATGACAGGGGGTGTGTGGGGGGGGGGGTGGTGGTGGTTGAACCCACTGAATATCAGGAAGATTACTCGTTTAGCAGACACAGAGATGACCGACCCCCTTTCCAACCTCGCGGGCCTGACCTCTGACTTCTGACCCCCCGCCCGCCCGCCCCCCAACTCTTTGTGTGCTGTGTGTGGGGCTTTCAGTCATGTTAATGGGGAGGTTGCACAATATGAAGGCTGGGAACTTCAAGGTCCCTGGGGGTGCTAGGCGTGGGCTGTCAGAGAGAAGTAAGAGTTTAATTGGACATGCAACACCTCCAGGAATCCATTATCAAGCCATTCATAAAAAGAACAAAGGGGAGGGGGGGGTCAAGGCAAAATCAGGGAATGGAGGGATAGAAGATGTTTTTAACAAAAAAGCAGCGGACCAGGAATGGCAACCTATATCAAATCCGCAGGCAAATCCCAGGATTAGCGGGGCCCATTGTTCTCCCGCTGGCAAGGGACTGGAGGGGGGAACTTGGGGGCTTGTGGACGGAACCCCGGACTGCGGCGATGACAGCCTGGCCGGCTTGGAGCAGAGTCGCTGACGGAGCAAGGCCCGGAGGAGAGGCCAGGGAATTTCACTGGCCAAACTCAAATTCTGTCCCCCAACCGCTTTCAGAGAAAAACAGGAGCAGCTTGAATGTGTGACCCCTCCATGGATAATATATACTTTGGACAGCACACACATCCCTCAACATTTTATTAGAGTTTTTCTAATATTTATGGAATATTTATGCCCAACTGGTTTCTCCCTTTATGAAAAGTACTTTTAATGAAAAATACAACCCGAGTGAATCCAAAAAGTGACAGGAGAGACCACCTACCAACTCGACAGTTTCAAACCCAACTCCTGGAATATACTCATCAGTCACAACCATCAAGCTAAATGTGCCGGAGGATGAAAAACTAGCAATAGGCTCAGACAATACAGATTAGGTAGCTTGCGGCCACTTTACCTGAGAAAAGGTCTTAGTCATGGACAGCCATCAATCTTCAACTTTATGGACGTTAAAGACATTTCACAACCGTAAACAATATTACAACACTCCTATATGGGTACATTCCTCTGTATACCATCTGTATTATTTCAGCACAGCTCTCTATAGTATGCTAGTACACTCGTCTATAGTATGAGTACAGTACAGTTTCCAACAGTATTATAAGTGGGGTAGAGCCCCCTATAGTTCTGAGTACAGTACAGCATTCTACAGTATAAGTACAGCATAGTCCCTACAGTATTAAAATCAGGGTATAGACCCCCACAATATTAAGAGTAGGGTAAACCCCCCTACAGTAATAAGAGCAGGATACAATGCCCTAAAGTATTATCAGTACACTACACTGCCATGTAGTATTAAGAGCAGGGAACAGCCCCCAACAGCAAGGTATTATGAACATCTCTCGGTATTAAGGCCAAGGTACAACCCTCAATGGTATTATGAGTACACTACACTCCCCTATGGTATTAAGAGCAAGGAACAGCCCCTACAGTATTAGTTTTAACTGCAAGGCACAGGTCCCTACAATATTATGAGCACACTACACTCCTCTACGGTATTAAGGGCAGAGTATAGCCCCCTATTTTTTCCAGAACCAGGAACTTCATGTTCGTCATGTTCACACCACAGCAGCTCTACCTGACTGTAAGTATTGCTTTATTGTCATCCCAACAATACACAATAAGTGTACAGTGTGACAAAATATCATTCTCCATGACCATATGTGCAACATAAAACACAACAACCCACAAGACAGATCACGATGAGGGTGAGAGGGGTAATAATTTACACTACACCTATATACATATATTTATATAAATGAACAGAAAAGACAATAGACTATGACTGAGTAGAAAGACATGGAGACATGGAGCTTATACGTAGTGTGAAGACAGTACAGTACATGGAGAATATGTTAAGAATGAAGACAGTAATAAAGTGAGCAAGTGTAGTTCCTTGTAGGCAGTTCTGGAACCCCTTTTAGTACATATCCCAGTACTTCCAGAAGTACTTTTCATTTGAACATGAACTACTAGGGAGACGTTTTCAGTGATAGCTTGCTGATTGGTTGACCACATGCACTGTCGCTAATTTAGAAGTAATGCAGAAGTATGGAAAAAAAAGAGATATAATTAGCGAAGCAAAAACTGAGAGGATGGAATTATTTTTGTAGTTTCATTACATTTAATGAAAACATGTTTTTTGCTTGTGTCTCCATATTTCTACTTCGAAAAATTTGTTTCGATAACTAATCACTAATCGCAATCACTCCCCCCCAAAGTTTAACCTACAAGCTTTTTTTTGTCTCCCATGCTTATTTAGCATAAAGGTCCTAGTTCTGTTGTGCGGTGTGAAAAGCCCCCGGGCAATACGGCCCTTGTAATCAGGGACTTGGTTCTGGAACTTTGTTGTCAAAGCACCTATTATGAGCCACATCACCCTTTCCCCTTGTCATTGTACCTTATTCTGGTTTTCCGCATTGATGTGGCACAGGTTCCCGATAAGCCGCACCAGGTGCGCCTTAAAGCCCACAGCAGGGTGTGAAGCCGAGCTGGCGGTGGAGAAGTCTTGCATGGTGCTGAACACATTGTGACCTGCCTTGCCCAGGAAGTGGACCTCCTTCAGGAGCTCTGAGAAAGTGATAGGTTATAACTATTAGACACACAGGTTAGCAGCAGTGCGGGCAGGCAGAGAAGACAGGGATTTATGAGGCATGCAGCACAAATGCCTATGCAAGGCCATCGCCTCAGGTGCTCCTTTCTGGGATGGGGGTAAGAGATATGGGGGATGGGGCAGGGGTTGTGCGTGGAACCAGGGCTCCAGCTATCTGACAGATCTCCTGTTCGCACCAGTGATAAGTCAATAAGGTCACGGAAAGTCCCACAGCTGAACCGCTTCAGAGGCAGTTCAAATTCCGCTGCTCTCTGACTGGGAAAGCAATAAGAATAATTGAAGGCCTGTGATGACAAACTGATTTCATTCAGGTTCATGCACTTGTCGGGCAGGCCTTTACCCACGGTGCTGCTGAGGAGCGTCGGGTGATCCTGCAGGAACATGAACAGCTTGCGATCCGAGGTCATCTCGCACAGCACGTCCAGTAGCCTCGTGACAGTCAGGGCATCCTGCAATGACATAACAGGGTCATGGGTTCCGCCTGGGAACAGAAGGCTGAAGTAGTCTTAGGACCAGGGATCACTCATCTTAAAAACACCAAAACATCCCTCAGTTCCTCTAGAACCCTGCCATTTCACTTATGTAATTTTACTTCTCCACTTCGCTCTTCCACACAAACCGATTCTGAAACCCCAATATTATTCTCCTTACCTGAGCTTTACTGTAAACATGAGGCTGATTTTATGATACAAAGTATGTAATTTGTCTCGAGGCTGTAAATTATTGCTGCTCCAATTTCCATGATATCCTAAATGATTGGAGCTTTAAGTCAGGCAACAAGAATAAGACCTTTGGAAGACAACCAGTGCCAGCGCAAGGCTGGTGTGTCACCCTGTCAAACAAGCAGCAGATTCTATCTAAAGCCGCTTATCTGCCAGACTGCCACGGATCCTGGCACAGTGATGGCAAAACAGGCCAAGGTCATAATGACAACTCACAGGCTACTTCCCCAAATCATCTAATCAGTTATTGTACTCTTCATATCGCTAAATCAGAAGCATATTTAAGCAGGAATTACACACATGCATGTCAGGAACAGGACTTGGGAGTGATGTTACAAACAACACAGTACCCAGGCCTAATCTCCCCCGACGGGTTGAGAACTGGCAGGTAATGAGAGCTGGGCATTCTCAATGTCTCTCTAAGGAGAAATGGCAGATTTGGACTTGGTAAAGGCCTGGCCCGTGGTGGATCTTGATTGTGGGGGAGAGCCAGACAACTGAATAGGCTGATACATGAATATAGGACCATCAGTGCCACCCAAGCCCATGACGAGGAACGTCAGGATCATGGGGCAATTCATTGCTATTTTGTTGCTCAGATGACTTAAAACCAAGATTTTATCCATTTATACAGCTGGACCCTTTACAGGGACAAATCGATGCATGTACAGCAGCTGAGCCCTTCCTGAGACCTAAGACAACTTGAGACCAAGACAGGTTCCCTAGTCCGCTTAATGTTATTTTCTACCCAAGGTATATCACTCCAGTATAGTGGAGGGGCTCTAGGAACTCAGATTGCGTGACAGATTTTTGCCTGCTGGAGCATCCCCCTACCCCCGCAGACTCCCTCCTACCCATTTGGGCCTCACCGTGTCCGCAGGGAAGGGCCCAGAGGCCAGCTCCAGTACAGCCTTACAGTGATCCACGAAGTAGGTAACCAGAAACTGTGCGAGCTTGGGCAGGATAACAGGCTCCTGGGGCTCCTCCGGTTCCCCCAGCTGGGCTGCGATGAGCTCCAGCAGGGTAACCCTGCCGCAAGATTGATTGGGAAAGACAGGCCTGTCAGACAGACATCCATAATAAACTAGCACCATATCTGTTAAGATTAGGAGCAACCTAGACTTGGTCTGAGTTGTGGTGCTAAACCCGAATTAGCAGACTCTTGCAGAGACCAGCTTGTAAGGTTTCACAACCAATGGGGGTGGGGGCTGAGGATCCCAAATGATTTTCCCTGGGTTTCCCGAGTCCTGGCGGAGCAGCTCACTGTCGGTCGGCTTCTGTTCAACCTGAGCTCTCAATTAACCAGTGTTGACTGAACTATTGATTGAGCAAAACTAGGAGCTGAAAGAAACTTTAAACTGAATGTGTTTCAGCCCTATCACACATAACAATTAAGTAACTAAAAGGCTTATAATTAAGGCTCAATATAGGTCAAACAGTTTTGAACTTTTTTTGATTTCCTAATGAAAGATCTCATGAATGGATCATAGGAGATGCTACATATTTTGTATGATATTTAATTATAAAAACTTGAGTTGTGAGATTCATTCAGTTTACAGCCCGATAATGTGGTATGAAATGGACTGCCCAGATGAAAAATCCGGTCCCATCCCCATCCTGGAGTTCCACCTGACTCACAGAGGTGAATATTCAACGGCATATTATGTTTTTAAGTTGCAGCAATTGACTTTAACTCTCCTTTCTCAAGTATTAAAATAAGAACTTTCATCTCATTGGCAAGCATCTCACCTAATCTCACTTCTGATTACCTTTTCATAACAATGTGTGTTCATCAGAAACTAAAGATAGAGTACACTTGAAAAAGAAATATGCATTGAGAGTTGTTTTGTGCCTTTATTACACCAATACATGAAAGGCAATTTAAAAAAATACACAACACGTGCCAACACAAAAACAAAAATTTGCAGAGTGAATGAATTTCATAACTGTGATATCATGGACAATTAACAGTAAATTTGCTCTGATGAACATACAGTACTGTGCAAAAGTTTTAGGCAGTCAAAGGAAACTATGGTTAAATAATCTTCATGTTGGTGGACTATGATATTATGTCAGTCAAAGTGTATCAGCTTAGCTATTTCATTTCTCCTAAGTCACCCCATTATTTACAGTAATTGTCCAATGTACCCATGTGTTTTTTGACTGGACCACTAGCACACCATATTTGACTAATGAATAAACCATACAGGGTTTTACCTAATTAAGTTAATGAACTAAGTGAGCTGGTAGTAAAACTGAACAGATTGTAAAGAATAGCTGAGATGCCCCTGAGGAGAGGTTTGGGAACCGAAGCGCTGTTCTAGCTATCGAACAAGACTTCAGTGTTCATTTGGAGAACAGAAGTTCTTGTTACTGTTTATTGTGTTCCTGTTAATTTGCAATGGTAGATTGCGGTTTTTTCCAGAGCAAATAAACATTTACTACCCAGATAAACAGCCTTAATTTTTTTCTATGAATGCATAAGACTTTTACACATTACTGCATCTTTCATGATTTATTTTAAAAATAAATCATTTCAGGGTTATGTTGTACATTCTAGACATGCCCATCTGTCTCAAGTAACCACAGTTTTCAATCTGTTATGTGAGGGGTTTGCAAGATTACCTCTCAGGGCAGCTCAGCTCTGCAAACATCTTCTCAGTGAGCTCAGGAGACTTCAGGAAGTGCTGTGTAACTATTAACACTCTGAAAGGAAACAGGAGAGACACAGCAGAAGAGAAGGTTACCCGGGTAGTGAGACACAACCCAGACTCTCACATTTTCACCCATGATCCAGGATCCTGGGTCATGGTATTCCTCTTACAGTTAAGAAATAAGCAGGATTCAAGGCACCAGTTCTCCTAACTGTAAGTCTTTGGATTATAAGAGGAAACCTATCCAAACATGGGGAGAACTCCATACACTCAGAGGTAGGGTTCTAACCCCTAGAGGTGTGAGGCTTTAAGCGGTAACGCTACCATAACACTTTTGAAAACAGTCACTTTGACCTCATTTCCACCAACATGGAGCTGGTGCTGGGTTGGTCCTGGCTTGGTGTCCTTTGAAAATCAGCCTGCATTTCCACCAGTTTCAGAACAGAACAGAAATGTTACGTAGGCAGAAGTGAAAGTAAAGCAAAGGGTAATTTGTATTTTGCTTTTTAGATTAATTTTGCCGAACTGGAAAAAAAAGAAAAGAGTACGATTCGATGTGTCCTGTCTCCATTGCCTGTATCCAATTTTGTCTCCTTAAAGGCTCCCCATCTGTGTGTGTGTGACTTTCTTTATTCTTGCTCCTTGTTCTACTGCTGTCCTTTTAAAGATCACGCAATCAAAGTCTGCTAAAAACTAAACTTTGCACCTCATGATCTCTTCGCCACTCGAACAGCACAATATTTTATTTATTCAACCTGTCACATATTTACACTTTATTGTTAAAGATATTTATACTTTATTATTAAATCTCGCCAACAGATCGATCCTTTGTTCTTCACAGAATAAAAAAAACAATGTAATATTGCATCATTTATGTGAATTATATTAAGTGCTTTGGTGCAAGTTAATATTTTACGTTAAATATTTTATTTTCAGAAAATACAATCCATACAATTTTAAGCTATTTTACGACATTTTGTCTCTACGTAAAGGGTCTCCCAGTCTGTGTGTGTCAGTTTATTCTCGCTGTATTACCACTGTCCTTTTAGGGTCATGCAGTAATACTAAAAACTGAACTTTGCAGTCCACCTCATGATCTCTTCAGCACTCAAACGCTACAATATTTTATTTTTTCGACCTGTACCATATTCATACTTTATTATTAAATCTGCCCAGCATATCAATCTTTCGTTTTTCACAGAATAAAAAAACCTTATTGTAACCTTATATTCCGCTAATAAGCTGGCAAGTTGTTTCACTAATATACCAACGTTATTAGACTAAATTATGTCGATTATGGATTGAATTTTCCGGGTATGCATTTGGTTTGGATGCAATAGCCCGTCTCTCGCTGACACTATGGTGCCAAATTCTGAGCCCAACCTTTCTGTGGTGCCTTGCTGGAGCCATTTTTTCTGTCCAGGACCATTTTTTTGCAGTGGAAACATGTGGAACCAGTGCCAGATTGGGAAAAAGACCCGCACCAGCACCACGTTGGAGGAAACAAGCCTTTTGATTAGTCTCTGATCAGTGTCAGTTTTCACAATAGAAAAGAAAACCTTACAGACCCCTTACCTTAAACCTGCTTCTACTAAAAACACAGGGTTTTACAAACATACACCTTACCAGTCATCTGTCCAAGTCCTTCTTCACCGTTATCTTTTCCACGCACAATAACATAACACTCAGGATCAATCTTTTATCACATTCATGCACATTTCACATGGCTTGATCTCCCTGATTAATCTGAAGCCTGAATTTGGGGACTGAAAGGAATTCATATTATATTTCAGCAAAACACAAACACAGCCGAAGTCTTCCCATTTTGTAAGGGAGATAAAAGGAATGGAACAGCAGGTGGCGTAGTGATTAACCAATGGGTTGTTGCTTCATTCACAGTACGGGCTTTGGTATATTACCTTTAAATTACTTATTTAACTTGAACTGTTCCAGTGAAATTCATATCTGTATAAATAGGTCACTTTGGGTAGAAACCACACAATGAAGAAATCATCATCCTCCTCCCCATTATCATCATCATTTTCAATAAGAATGAAAAATGGCAAGAACAACAAAATATTTTAGGAATGACCTTGCACTGATGTTTAAAAGAGTAAGAGACCAAAATTAGAGCAACATCCAGCTGTTGGAGAGAGGGTCCATAAAAATAGCCCCAAAAGGTTTCACTGTCGGCCAATCTGTGGTACCCCAAGGCCTCGGACTTCCTCAACCTGCCATCAGGAGCAGATTGAAAGTGGACTCCTAGTGCTCGAGAGCTCTGCATAGCCAGAAAACACGGGGATGAAAAAAGAAAAAAAAAAAAAAACTGTAGCATCCCTAGAAGATCTGGGCTTGTGGCCTGCCCTCATTGTTTGTTATGTTCTGCCGTAAATTCACCCGGACATGAGTGTGGCTGGACTCCGCGGGGCTGAAAGGCCAGCATTCCTCTTTTGTCTTGTCGAAAGCTGAGGCGAATGTTTATTCACCCCCAGTAGGCAAGCTGCGGCGCTGACCATGGACCCAAGGCAGCGGTTCGAGTTTAACTGTTGCAAATCAAAACGTGGCAACCCGCCGTCGGAATGCGGAGCAGCGGTCGCTCCGCTGGCAAGAGAACTTGTGGCCATCTCAGGTCCTGGGATAGACTGTTAAGGCTTACAATCAGCTGTATGTGGGGGCAGAGACCGACACCCAGTCCAGCTCATACACTCACACCTTGACCTCACTGAGACCTACACCCACCCTAAACATAGCACAAACACCCATATCCTGAGCTCACCAAGACCTATACCCACGCTAAATACAGCTTGTACACCCACACCTTGAGCTCACTGAGACCCACGCCCAAGTTGAACTCATGGACCCACATCCTGAGCCCACTGAAACCTAAGTCCAATCCAGCTCATATACCCACAACCTGAGTTCACCAAGACCTACACCCAGTCCAGCTCATACACCGACACCCTGAACTCACTGAGACGTACCTGTATGCCCAGTCCAGGTCATACACCCACACCCTGAGGTAATTGTTAACTATTATTACCTACATTGCATGTTATGCACATCCAAGTCTTACATCGCTAGTCAGCTAGATTATGATCAGGCTTTGTCTTACCTTCAATTTGCTACGGATATTATAGCGCAAGGAGGTTAAATCTCACTAAAACATTTTTACTTTGTCATAGGAATAAAACCTAGCAAGTTTTGCAATTTTAATGATTATTCCTTTTCAAAATTATCTAGTATATGTTTAAAAATCAGTTTAAAGTTTTCCTTCGCTGCTTTTGTATGAGGGTTGCATATGTTCTCCAAGACAGTCATAATCATTTTCATCCTTGCTGTTTAAATCACTCCTACACGGGTTCATGAGAAATTTATGTTGAACTTTTTTTGTTTCATAAATACCCTAATATTTATAAAACAAAATCACACTACAATATTTGAAAAATACCAATACCATACTGTCATTGTGTATTATACAAAACACTTTATTTCTTGTTATGCTATCCTGATCTTGTTGTATCTGTTCTTCCGACCAGATCACAATTAAAGCTTGTGTTACTTTATTTGTCTACGCATCTATTATTATTAAATTGATTATTTTTTATGTCTGTGATGTAATAGGTCAACTAGAAAAAGCCCAATACTAACAAGCTGAAAGGAGCCATATCGCCACCTATTGTAGCGGAGTCAGTCAATAAATCGATTCCCCTCCTGTGCATGTATACTGGGACAAGTACAGTAGTCTGATTAAATGGTGTAATCGAATGGTGTAACCGTAGCTCAACTTAGCTGTGCATGTAAACGTACTGACTGAGACCTACACTGAGTCCAGCTCGCCTAGAGCAATGCAGAGTCCAGCTGATACACCCACACCCTGAGCTCACTGAGACCTATGCCCAGTCCAACTTATGCACTCATACCCAAAGCTCATTGACACTTACGCCCAGTCGAGTTCCGGCTGCTTCTGGCACAGTGCAATGACCTTCCTGGCCACAGCCTGATGCTCCTGATGTGTGACCATCTCTTCCACTTTGTTGGGGTCCAGACAAGTGTAGAGCACCATGGCGCTGTAGGCCGCGGTCTTCTCGTCACTGTGGTCCAAGAGCTCCCTGCCAAGCACACATGGGTTATGATGACCTGGGTGAACATAAGGCCTCGTTCACACGGACGTCTGTACCAGGCGTTTTTCTGGCGTTCGTGGCGCCAGGTGAGCACCAACTGAACGGCGACAGTTTTTCTGCTCATTGCAGCAAATCAAAGCGTCCACACGGGCGTTCAGCACCGGCGTTCAGGTGGCGTCAAATAAACGCTGCATGCAACGTTTTATTGGCGTCAAAATCCCGATGAACGCGAGGAAAACGACGCTATTGTGTTTACATGGCATTCGGTTGGCGTTCTGGAGGACCGAATATGTCCCATGATTCTGTACGGCAACTGCGAGAAACCACATTTTACGGAAAATGTGATACTCGTAATATCGGTATTGTGGATGGATGTGTGAATGTAAATAAAATTTACATAAATGCATCTTGGACCTCTAGCTTAAAAATTAGTTTACACACTGCAACTGATCCCCCCCCCCCAAATTTAAGCAATTAATATATAAACCCCGCTTCTCTCCAATGCCTCAACAATTACGGATGGATTCGAGAGTACAGCATAACTTTGGCTACTTATTACCCGTGCAACATACTCAGAAAACGCCGGCTGAAACACACACTGAACCCGAAAAAAAATCACAAAAAAACTGAAAATGAAAGACGCAAATTATGCACGTTTGAAAGTCATTTTTAAATGTGAAACTAGAACTTTACAATGTGATTTCGTCATCTTGTTTAAATCTCGAAATATACATTAGAAATCTTAAGAGTAATTACTGCCCCAACAGGTAAATACACAAAACTACAGATTTGGTGTCAGGTTGGTGTTAAATGGCGTCAAGCGAACGCCAGTGAAACGCCAATCGAACGCAGCTACAAAACGCAGGAAAAACACGTATGGTGTTCAGAGGGCGTTCATTTCGAACGTCCGTGTGGACGAGGCCTTTAGGAGCTGTTTTTACGGACTTATCACAGCACATCTTAGCAGTCAAGAATTATGATTATGCAGTAAAAAAAAGTGACTGGGCTTTCAGGTGGAACTGTTAAAGATTTCCGTACCATCTTGAACAAGTGTTGTATAATTTCTAAGCATTAGGAGCCAGACAGCAATGCAGTGGAATAGGCAAGTGAGTCATTACAAATGCAGGTTGTGTGCTGTTCCTACTGTACAGTATATGAACCCATATGAAGAGGACACACCAGTGCAAAGATTCCGGCTCCTGAAAAGTGCCTTTGGTAGCAGCATGGGCCCCCGCGTGCATGTCTGGGGGTGGGATGGCAGCACACAGTTCTCAGTGCGCTTGGCCATGTTAGTCAGGCCCTGCCAGGACTACCTTCCTTGCATTATTGGAATTCCAGCAGAAGGCTGGGTGAGGACAGGCAGGCAAGGGTGGGGGGGTGAGTGAGGGAAAATTGCAATTGGACTCCGAAGCCATGAGATAACTGATACACTGCAATCACTCCCCCAACCCCACAGCCACAACTGGGACCAGCTGAATAAAAAGAGGACAATCCTACTGTGAGAGTGCCAGGGAAAACAGAGGCCGCTTCAGGCCTAGCCGGGTCCTGACATCCACCGTGATTAACCCAAACAAGGTCAGGTACGTAGCAATTCTCACTCACAAGAAAGTGCGGAGCTCTGCAGCAAATATTTATAATGTCCTCACAGCGCTGCTGTCCTCTGGTTGTATTTCCCAGACATGGCCAATTGATCAGAGATAATAGAGGGGGTACGTCCAGTCCTTTAAACAGTCGGTACTAAGGGTGGGGATAATTCCAGTCCGTTAAACAGTCTGCACTAAGGGTGGGGTAAAAGCAGTACATTACACAGTCTATACTAAGGGTGGAGGTTAATTCCAGTCCTTTATACAGTCTGTGTTAAGGGTGGGGTAAAACCAGGACATTATACAGTCTGTACTAAGGGTGGGGGGGTAAATCCAGTCTACACACAATCTGTAATAAATGAATGCACTTCTGGACTCACACCTATCTTTGAAATCAATCAATCAATCAATCCATCCATCGGGCATGTACCAGGTCTATCTACCACAGCAGAAGTTTGGGACTTTTGGACTCGAAGCAGCTTAGTGTGCAGGAAACAGGTGTAGTCTACCAGAGTCACAGAACAGCAAAACAACTGGAGGAAATGTTCCTCACTTCCATGCTGAAATGTTAAAGCAGCACCTTCATTCTTCAGAAACTATTCACCTGTCTGATTCTGCTACATATCCCATGCATAGTCTGGCAACCTGTATTCAGTGTGATGGTTAAGCTTGCCTCATGGTTTGGTTAAGGGCCTCTAGCACAGCATGATTTACAGCCTAAGAGAACCTGCTTAAATTTTTAAGCTGAGTGTTAAAATAGAGCCATGAACTTGCCATGGTTCATCAGGGAGGCCTGGGGAAAGAGTCTGAAAACCAGTCAAGCACACAAGTATTTTAAAAACAATGATTTATAGCATGATCAACATCATCATAACCACAACAACTGTACTCGCCATGAATGCAAATATAGAAAGGCCTCAGCATCTGAGTAACTGGCATGGGTGTCACAGATCTTCCTTTGTTGAGGATGTCTCCATTGTCTAACAATCTTCTTGCATCATGATGTATACTGGCCCCCACCAGCTTGAGGTGTGGAAAAAATGCCCTCGTCCCATGAGGTAATTCTGTCTGGAACTGCTTCTCCTCGAAGATGATGATGATCGTCATCAGATGTTCTTCACAAATTAGTCATATTTTCTCGTATTGCTGGTGCCACACCACAGTGCAAGAGCTTTCCCACAAGCATATAAATCTCAGTGTCTGTGTCACTGCAGAGCTCTTTTCAGTGTGGAACAAGGAGACTGCAGTTATTCCACTTGGTACAGAGCAGGGGAGTACAAAGTACAGTCATCCACCAGCTTTCAACATTAAAAAATATGCAGACAATGTTATATGACACAACAAAAATTAGTAAAGAGCTCCCAAAACCAACAAGAAATGCTGCTGGACCATCAAAACAAAAAGGCTCTGCTGATTATGACTCTCTGACCCTGAGGAGAAGGATGTTGGTTCAAATCCTTTGCCTGACAGACTGATGTCACCGGTGGGCCCTTGAGCAAAGCCCTTAATTCCAGTTCCTCCAGGGACCCTGCTCTCTGATCATCAGTAAGTAGCTCTGTATAAAAGCTAAATAAATAAACAGTATAGCAGAGCCATGATGCTAACTAGACTGGCTGCACTGGAGAGATACCACACAACCATTTGTTCCAGTTACAGTGTCCAACACAGCAGTGGCTATGCCGGCACAGCTACCACGCCGCTCATCCAGGCGCACTGGTGGCATTTCCAATTTTCCTGACAGGAGCCTGCTTAGTGTCACAGCCTCCTCTCTCCTACTCGGGTAACTTTATAGGAGTTTAACGGGCTCCCAGGAATCCTGGTGGAACTGATAGCCTATGAGAAACACACAGGAATCCCATCGTTGCCAGACGTGGAAATTCAGTTCAGGGGGACATTCAATTAATGGGATGTGGGGGTGGGGATGGGCTGGGAACAGACAGACCAAAGATAAGCACCTGACATCGCACACAGACCACCAGCAGACAGATTTCATGCAAAAACTGTAACTCTATTACAGACTACTGCTTTACAGTAAATGGGCATTACCTAAGAAAGCTACTCCAAGCTTACCCCAAAACATTTTGGCCTGTTCAATTTCTTTAAGCAAGAACATTTAAGAGGGTATAAAATTACTAGGTAAACTATGGGGCTCTCTCTGTTTCCCAATTTATGGAGGAAGGCAGAAGTAACTTTTAGTTACTGTGAGCCTGATTTGATATGTCTATTGAGCACAGATAAAGTATGTTTCCCAAGTAGACTAATTAGTAGGGAAGTAATGATAATTGTAATATTGCGATATCGCAATGACAAAATACCTCGAAACTGTTGTCGGACTGTTCCGATATCAACCAAGATATCACGTGGTTATTTCGCTCGTATAAGCTGTCTCAAAAAATACATATTACATTAACAAATGCTTTGTGCTCTATTGGCTGTGTGTAACCCACATTAAATCCATTACAAAACAACTATTACAACAATTACTTATAAATTGGTCAAATACTGTAGAAACAAAAACACATTTACAGTATATTAACAAAACAATAATTTCTCTCTTTAAGAAAAAAGACGATTGTATGCAGATTGTGAGGTGATGTCATGAAGTAATGTGGAGAGCACGGGTTGTTTTTTTGCAGAAGTGGTTGAGGCTGGCTGCCGCAAGTGCTGCCATAGGATTTAGAATACGCTGCCATACGATTTAGAATACAATAAAAAGAAACCTTGCTAAACTTGATTTTACAGCTTATGCGGTGTAAGAAGATTTAAACTAAAAGGAAGGTGGAAGAAATGTTTTAAACCACAATAAATTGTTTTTTTTCTGCGCTACATTGACACTTCCGAAGATTTGGAACGGATATTCCTGCATGTGCTTCACCGAACAGGGACCCACCCAATGGAGTTCATAGCAGGATGGCAAGCTAAACCCTTGGAGCAACTGTGTGCAGTTAGGATATGATGGACTGAACTGAACTGTATATTAACCTTTGGACATTGTTATGTCTGAATTGAAAGGTATATTACACATGCACTGTTTTCATGCATTATTTAGCGTGTTAGTATGTATGGGCATTGCCTATATTTCACGCTGTGAAAACAGACCCAGTGGAAAAATGGCAGAAAACACTACTTCGGAATTGCAGATTGTGTTTTGATTACTGCTGTCAAACGATTACAATTTTTAATCAGATTAATCACAGGGTTGCTGTGGATTAATTCAGATTAAATATCAT